TTGATTCACTATACATTACAATAGATAAACTTTATTTCATGAATTCGTGTCGGTAATTTTAATAGAACCCGTTTGAAACTGGCTCATTACGGACGAAATAAACTGCGTTTCATCTTCCGTGCGCACTGTCGTTTATGTTTACCACCAAGCTCATTGCGTGCCGTAGGCATAGATATTTTAGCGATTTACAGTATATATCTGAAATAGCGTTTTTCATTTTAGAATTTTTTTTTGGCTGTCGGAAATTTGGGATATGACGTGTTAATGTAACACTGATCCGAGGCAGACCATACTCTGATCCGTAAGTAAAAAAAAAATGTCGGAAATTTGGGTTGCGGATGTACTCTTTTATTTTTGACGTCCGGTAGCCGTTGATCGCATAGTAACGCGTATATATATATATATATATGGTGACCGTACATTTGAACCCATGTACATTTGAACCCATGCGTATATCCACGGGTTCAATCTATATGCGGGTGCTAAAACCCATAGGTTAGGGTTAGTATGGGTTTAACTATCCGTGAAACAAAAAAAATTCCATAGGTGCAATAGCATACAGGTGCAATTGTCATGGGTTCAAATGTACGTGGGTTCAAATGTAATGGAACCATATATATACATATATATAAAGATGTTCATATACCAGTGTTATTAATATTACTTGCACACTATTTCCAATACATCTTGTTATGCTGGATCATCGATACCTTTAACAATGGATCAAAATAACCATTGCATAGTTACGCTGTCTTATCGGCAACCGCAAAGGAATTAATGAAGAAGGGGTACTTTGTGAAAATGTCGTGTTTAGGCGCACGGTACACGGGATATTTGAAAGTAATAAAAAACTTTAGCTCAACGATTAAAACAATGGAAGATCTTGAAAAAATGCCTACGTTTCAAAAATTGGTTAATTTGTCACAGGATGGATTCGTTTATAATATATATACGGATATTTTGTACAAAGCCGCCGCCACTAATGTAAAATTTAAGGAAAACAGCATTTTCTAAAATAACAAATTATCCAGTTGCGGTTCTGGTTAAGAATGATTTGAGAATTTGCGGCGCAATCTACTTTACTGGCCCTCGGAAATCGGAAGGAATTCGGAAATTTCCATACAACTGTTGCCGCAATTAGGCAGGCCACTTGTGAAAAAAACCCACTTTTTTGACGAATCATGTTTTTTCCGTTATGTTAAGTATTCGATCCACGGCCGATCTAAGCATTTTGAGTGTCTTGTCATGTCAATTTAATTGTGCTCATGGTATCTCTCCTTGTTGCGAGATATCGGTTTTCAAGATATCGCTGTGAGAAAGATCCGAAAATTTACGATAAAATCTCAGACTGTATAATTTATTTTGTTATAATTAATAATTGATTGGACATACTTTACATAGATTATCAGCCAGGATTCAAAAATACATATTCATCCCCTCTAAATGGCTTTTGAGACAGTTGCCTCGATTATGCCACTCGCTAACAAAGCCTTTTTGATCGGGTTATGATTTTTCGGTTACGCAGAGTATTCAATTGACGACCAATACGAGTCTATGTATAATTGTGTGTTTAATGTAACCTGCAGTTAAGTCGAGAAAATGAGAACATTACCATGAAAAATCACGGCAATCCACGCAATAAAAAAGTGTTTCGAACTGCCCGATTTTATCTAGTTCTGATTCGTATTTTTGCGATGTTACGAATTTATACAAATTTGATCTGTTATTGCAACACTATGGTGGCCCATCGTTGTCACGCGTAAAATTGAAAAAAAAATGAAAAATAAAATAAAAAACTTAAAATAAAAGTAAAATAAAAAATAGTTCTAAAAAAACATAAAAAAAAAGGAAAAAAATTAAAAATAAAAAATAAAAACAAAATAAAAACGAGTAGAAAAAGCATAAAAAAAATTGAAAAAAAAACGTGAATAAAAAGAAAATATAAACGGTTGACAACGAAGGGCCGCCTCGTGGCCCATCGTTGTCACGCGTTTTTATTTTGAGAAAATTTGCTTCTGCTTGGGACCAACGTTGTCATGCATAATCCTACGCGCACAATCGGTGTTCCCTGGGTTTCTAACTCATTACTGATTTTCTTGAGCAATATTCAATAAATTTAATATGCAAATGTTCTATGAATTCTCCATGATACAAGTTCAACTAAAAGTAATATATATATTTAAAATATTGATAAGAGAATATAGAATTGAATACGAAAATTCGAGAATTTTGTTTTCACGTGTAGAAGGTAGTTGAATTGGAGAACGTTGCTTAAATGTTCAGTTGTCGGGACACTCGTGCGATACCGATACTGTCTGATCGTACCCGGTACCCAGCATACAGTCACTCATGAAACGAGTGGGAGATACGGATAGTCTAGTAGAATAATACGGTGAATCGAGGGATGGATTGAAAAAAATGGTTGAGCCCGCGCGATTCATCATTCGTCTGGATCGGTACATTACGGCTGCACGGTATGCCTTACCGTATGCACATGCCGACATGCACGTTCCATTGAAATCAGGTCTAACCATAATCGCCTTCCAGCCTCGTGGTTGTACGATCAGACAGTAGTGGCTAGAGCCGACGGACGAGTCTAACTAGGCTACTGCACACAGTCCTTTTTCTAATAATTTAAGTCTGTGCTTTGTGAATTATTCACATTTTAGTTTTGCAGTTATTACAAATTACGATTACTATACAGGTACTTATTATAATGGCTGAAAAGAGATATTGCATGGGTACAATTGTGGTCAGACGGTACCGGTATCGCAAGAGTGTCCAGACAACTGAGCAGTTGAGCAGCATTCTCCAAATCAATTACCTTCTACACGTAAAAACAAATTTCCCGAATTTTCGTACTCAATTCTATATTTTCTTATCATCATTATAAATATATTACTTCTAGTCGAACTTGTAGCATTGAGAATTTATACAACATTTTCGTTTTGAATTTATTGAATATTGCTCAAGAAAATCAGTAGTGAGTCAAAAACCCAGGAAACACCGTTTGTGCGCGTAGGATTATGCATGACAACGTTGGTCCCAAGCAGAAGCAAATTTTCTCAAAATAAAATCGCGTGACAACGATGGGCCACGAGGCGGCCCATCGTTGTCAACCTTTTTATTTTCTTTTTTTTTTCAATTTTTTTTCTTTGGTTTTTTTTATTCCGTTTTTATTTTATTTTCGTTTTTATTTTTAATTTTTTTTTGTGCATTTTATTTTTTTTTTAATGTTTTTTCGCAACTATTTTTTTATTTTACTTTTATTTTAAGTTTTTTTTATTTTATTCTTCAATTTTACCAGTGACAACGATGGGCCACCATACAACACTGACTCCGCTCTATCATAATGCCACCACCCAAGATAATTTTCAAGATATATACGACAAGATATAACGTTAGGAATATCCCTAGATCTGCGATAAAATATCAAAGACTACAATATATTTTTAGTATAATATACAATAAAACAGTACAGTGATACTCCGATAGTGGACCAAAAAATAAAACGAGTTCAAAATGCTGCGGTATTCAAACGGAAATTCGGATCTCAAACTTGAACGAAACGCGCGGCTGAGTGAGATGACGCCACCAAAACAGCATCTAATCGATACAGTTCAAGACTGACAGACGAAAATCTTGGTATATGCAGTTGAGAGTTTCCAAATCGCCAGTTGTCCAAATCGTCGAAAAGTCATTGATTGTGCCTTTTTTATTTTACTCTGCAATATATTATTGAATAACTTCAGCTTTATGGATGAAGTTGTTCGTTTTTGATGATGGAAATTAACAGGTATCCTAGTATGACTAAAAAGTTGTGCGGCCCGCTTACTCAGTGGTGACTGATAAAGTAGCCCGCGATAGGATATAGGTTCGTCACCCCTGGACTATAGATAGTCACGCCGAGCTGACGAAAACAATCAGCAATTATAACAAAATAATCCCCGTCAAGATCGCACGCGTTATTCAGTCTTTCGAAAATGTCAAAAAAAGGGAGCTGAACCTCTCCTGGCTTCGCCGCTTATAATGTTTATGGGGCGCTAATTTGAATATAGACGAGAGAGCAATGCTTAAATATATGGACACGAATGCTCAGTTCCTAGCCATATGAATATTTGATGATCTGATCTTCATTTTTGTTTGAAACATTTGAACCCTACATTTTTAGTTATGTTGATCTTAGAGCAGCAGCAAGTTGCATTAGATATGCGCCCACCCGCGGGTATAGACGCTTCGTGTTTGTTCAGTACGGTCGCAAACTTCGCCAAACAAAATGGCGGAAGAACTAGCGCAGCCTGAATTGTAAAGCAATTTCTAGTTCAATAATTTGTTTACCTGCATTCTAAATATACCGAGTCTACTGATTTTACCACACAACGTAAACACAAAACGAAATTAGGCCACATCAGATATTGAAAAGTGTACATGTAAAATTCCACGACTTAAAACAGTGGTTCTTAACCACGTCAAACTTCCTACCGGCCCGCCAGATATATTCCAATATTATATCTGGATTCCAAAATGCAAGGCATTGATCGCCTGGACATTTATTTCGCGATTTTTAACTCTTATTGATGCGTTAACCAAACTCGGTCAAAGGCCCTGTGTCCATTTCAAGCCCTAAACGACTGGGTGACATTGTCACAGTTTTGGTTATCGCTTGAAAAAGAATATCTTCAGCTCAGTGACAAAGCCAATAAATTACAGATGTTTTTTGTTCAACTTACTTATGTGAGAAAAACTTTTCATCGTTATCGCTCATCAAAACCAAACAGAGAATTCGCCTTGCAGAAAGTTTAATGGAACCGCGTTTAACATGTATGATGTCAAAAAGACAGCAGCAAATTTATCATTAAATTGAATTGTCTGCTTTCGAATTGTATAATTTTGTCGTAATTGCATTCACTTATCAAGCAAAAAAATGGAACCAGACGACGCACTCTGATGGTTACCCACAGCTATGTCTTTAGAAGATAACAAACATAAATGCATGTAAGGTTTTTCTATCCGACAAAGACACCGAGTTGAACTTCCATAATAAAAAGGCATGTAAGTCGGTAACTCCGTTTTAGTTGTGAAACCCAATGTTTGCTATGTTGCGACATCTTATCGGTAAGCTGAGGTTATAATAGCATTCTGTTATACAAAAAATCACTGTGACAATATTACTTGACTTGTTTCGATTCTTTTCAGGCTGCGCAGTTATTGGAATTCTTTGTACAAGTAAGAAAATCGGCGGTGATCCAATTAAATCAAGATTTGATGATGAAACTTTTCCTCGAGATAGCAATATCTGCAAACCGTTGTTCAAAGAACCGAAGTGCCTGGCAAGTTTCCAACAATGTGATAAATCCTTAAACTTGCAGCAATCGATTTTATCATCGCAATTGACATTGGTAAGCATCAATTACAATTTATGCAATGTGCTACTACAATACCAGGATATCACCACATACTTATTTGTTGAATAATACTCTTCATATCAAGATAATCAAAGTGTGCATTTATGCGTAAATAATAACAGATTGTTCATACCATTTTGATCGTTGTAAAATATTAAAATGTTGCGTCTCAGATTAGTATAATTTTTCACATAGAGATAATTAAAATGCAAATTGGGTAAAGTCTGCCAACAATGCATATAAAAATGTATACTTTAAACTTGGCAAAGCTAAAAGTTTAAATCCACGGCAAAACGTCTCATGATTTTGTTACAACTACTGCAACACTGACTGATAGACAAATAAAAAATTATTTTCAGGTGAAACATGGCGGGATCTGGGAACAAAGGAGTTATCACGGCGTGAGTGTTATGTTTAATCACCTTCGCCATGAATTTACTTGTTTTGTTTATAAATGACTAGAATGAGTATGTTCCAATTTCAGACGGACTCGATTATTTCTGGAATCGAATATTCCAGCCTTACAGCTATTCAAATCTTTACTAAACGAATATTTTAAAGGCGAAACCATGAACTACTAAATATGTCATGTAGTCAAAATATATTGCTATGTATGTGCATTTCGCTGTTTTTTCTCTTCGCCGTCGGCGCTAGCTTCATTTTTTTTAAGGCATAGTCTCAATACGAGATATGAACATCAGACTCCCACAAAGCGCAATTTTGGGCGATAGAGACCTTTACCTAATATTTCCTTACAATCCAAAGTACCGTTGCATGGAAGATTAGATAAACATAAATGCTCATCTTTAATGGCATTTAAATTATAATCTTAAAAACACTCAATTGGTTGCTATTTCGAAGTCGACCCAAAAGCCCGAAGCGACATAACCCGATGGTTAAATTATTATCATAAAACAGCGAACAAACGTTTGAATATAATACGCCACAACATTTAATATTTGGTTTCTGAGCGGCAAGACGCGTAATTTTTCTTCTGAGATGTAATTTCGTTTAATCCATTATTCGAGTTGATTGCTACGGATGAACAAATCTCAAACTAATTACCGATTTCGATATTTTTTCAGAGAAAATTGCCAAGAAGAATGGTTCAATTACCGTTCATGTTTCACAGATATCGAGAAATGCTCTCTATTGCGCAAAATTATTTGGTTACGACAGCAAAAGTTGAATTGAACACAAGCTACACTGCAATAAGAGCAAATTTATTTTCTCTTTGTTCGGCAATGCATCTTAAGCGTCACATTCAAAACAGAAAAGTCGAATTTGACGAGGGAAATAACAATGTGAGTGCACTCTATTTTAGCAGTGAAGTTATTAGGTCATTATATTGATTGTTTTGGTTAATTTTGTGCTTGCATTCAGCATAAAAATTCTAGAAGTCAACAACGAGACATATCTATTTCACAAAGTGTATTTTAATGAAATATGTCACGGACCTATATTTTATTGAGCAACTCAAATAATTTTGTCAAATAACTCAATAATATTTTGAAAAGTGATAATGATAAAACAATCACGAATCTAATACCAAACTATTTCAGACCAATGCTTTTCTATTCGATATCCTTGATGACGAATCATTAAGAATCTGGAAAAAGAGAATGGGACGTTTATATAACCGTCACTCTCGCAAGGTAAAATCTTTAGATTAAATGTAGGAAAGTAAACGTTAATATCTCCAACGTTTTCTACTTCAAATTTTATTTGTATAACGATTATCTATTGGATGCAAAATTTCCCTCAGAAGTACATAAGTAGTTCATAGTTTTATGTTAAATTCAATTTAGAAAGTTCACGTTTTGTTGGGATATATGAATATACCCGATCAACGAATATCAAATACGTACCCCCTACGTTTGTTTGAATACTGAAATTTAAGTTAATGACAAAACATCGTTTTCAACCTTGACCTGAATTCGCATATCCAATTGCTATTTCTACTTATTGCTTCAAGGCATTTTATTTTTTAAAGACAGTTTTAATACAAAAATTCAAAAACATATTATTCCCTGCTTATTTTATTTTTTTATTTACACAGCAACATCACCATTGGTTTCTTGCGGAGATGCTGTTTCACATAAAAGCTTTGATTGAAAAATATCAATTCCTGCATCGCGTGAATTCATGTTCTGTGACCTCACTCAGTATGTCAGACGAGACTTGCATGTTTTAATGGGTTAAAATTTACCTACACCAATTCTAATGCTAACCTCCGTACAGATGTATTCAGAACAACATTAGACAATTTTATTGCGTAATATGCTAGGTATATTTCAGAGTAATCAAAACTTAGCCATTGGCAAATAGACACGATCATCTTGTCGGCATACCGCCTTTACGTGATCAGCATGCATTCTTGTCTGGGATTTAATTTCAGATATAATTTGATACCTTTGACCTACCTTTTTGTTATTTTTTCACAAGATGTTTTGATATTAAAATTATAGTGTGGCGAAATGTTTCAAATGAAATTTTACTCCAAATACAACTTGATATTCTCATTCCAAAGTTTTGATGAATGGCTCATGTGTATACGTATTTCTTTCTATAGGGAACTATACCAAGTCAAATGTTACGCGTCGGGATGTATCGCCAACCGTATACGCGGAGTTGTGGGGCGAAAACTGTGTTTTGGGAACGTCGTATCTTTGTACCATCTAAATATCCGAATTAAAGATTGCTGCTTAATAGGTACATTGTTTGGATTGTGTACCCGAAGAGGGAACACGGTTCTAGTCATTTTTTGAACGGATTATCTTCCAAATTAGTCTCAACAACAAACTGTCAATTAGAGTTTAGACCCTACTGCGCTTTTACATAAGACAGGAGGAATTGCGTAACATTTAAAAATTTTCGAACCCGTGCGGCCATGATGTTTCACGAAAGTATTCAAAATATGCATCGGGTTTCTTAAGAATTCTTTTGCTCGTTGTAACATATGCGGCAGAAGCCGGTAATGGATGGAAAAGCAACGTAGATGTGAGGTGGCCGAGAATAAACACTTTTTAGGGATACCGTGTAAAATTGGATAAAAACAGACTTTGAAGTTATGAGTGCATCTTCGTTTTTGAATGAAAATTTGCTTACTTGCCACCAAACTCAAATCTGTGCCACTCGTTTAATAAAACACAACACGGCAATATTGTTTTCGATTAAAATGAAAATATTTATCAGTATTTAGTGATACCATATCGTTTGTTTGAAGTAATTAACATATCTGTTAATAAGTTCTAATTTCTCTTCTAGATTAGAAAAATCCTCAGATTAGAACAAGGTTCTGCAATCACTTTTATTCGCAACCCAAACTAACGATGATTTTGCGTGGGAGTTAATAATGGAAGATCAGAACAAGGTTCTGCAATCACTTTTGATTTCAACACAAACAAACGATGGTTTTGCGTGGAAGAAACACAAAGATTATAATCTAGATTATAATCTTTCACGCGTTACCATCGTAACCAACTCATACGTCATTCAATTCTTATCTATCACGTTTAAAACCCAGTCTAACCGAGTTTCCTGAGGCCATTTTGTATGGTCTCTTTCAACATTTTTATTATAGTCAACTGTTAGGCCCTAAAACGGCAATCATTAGTTTTTAGAAGCGTTAGTTCTTTTGATTGATTAAGTTCTTTTGATTGATTGACATTTTGACACGCATACAAACACATGACCTTGTTCATTTCTATTCCAGCTTTATCTTATCATCCATGCTTCACCACAATTTTTAATAAATTGCACTTCAAAATCGTGACAGATTGCCAGTGTGCTTTCTATAAACGTTCGTTGTCATATTACGAAATTTTACAAATAACAACAAGGACTAAATACACAAAGATTTTCATATAGATAATTGCAGATCATATTAGTAGATATTGTCGCTAACGTATTTTTTTGCCAATATTCCTATGAGAAAATTTCAAATAAAACTAAACGTAGTTTTAAAAGTAATTTTCCGCACAATATTTATATCACGCTCAAATATCATTTCGAATAAAATTATTCAATCAAGAGACATAAAAAATAAATATAAAATTCAAATAAAGTCATACAAAAAAACAAAAACAAAGATGTATAATATTACTCATTTGATTGAGCTATGTCATCCATTTCATGATTCATCACTAATCCCCAATATTTCAGCGGAATAGAACATTATTTAGCTAGTCGTAGAAAACACGTATAAATATAACCTTTTTTTACTGAAAACGTTCTGGTCAGTCTGCTAATCATGAAAAACTGGTACAAAATAGATTTTCGAAACAATAGTTATAGTATTACATCTATGGAGTTTTAATTGCATGTAGTGGATAAATAAATATTACACATGAAATGGACTTCAGTTTTAGGACTATCATTGAAAGAATGGTGTTGGGCACTAGGTATCTAAATATACAGTTCCGAATGAAGTTGGGTTACGGTTATTCCGAATCTTGAGTGTTGAGTCCAAGTCCTACAAAAGTCGTAAAACTCTAGCCTGAGTTTGTTCGATGTACTGCCAATTTGTAAGCCAAATCCTAGTACACGAATATAGCTCAAACTAGTAATCTAGAATGAAGTTTAAAATGTTATTATTCAATTATAAAAACAGAAACACAAAGATGCGATCTGCAATATTCATAACTCATTTGATTATTCTAAATAATATGTAGTATTTATTTCATATAGAGAAAAAATGGGAAATCACGAATTTTAACACACATAGTCTAGGGCCATCTAATACTTCACCATTTAGCACTGTGATAAACTGTAGCAAGTTTACACACGCCCTCGGATATGTGCGCCCGGTATTTCATTTGACACCCGTGGGTAATTCATTATTATAAATAATTTCCTTACTCTGAAATATTTGTCTTTCCTACTTATTGATTTTGTAGTCCACGATTTTGTATTTCTATGTATTTTGTGTATAATATATATGTAGTTTGTTGAGTATTGTGATAATACTATACAGCCGAAGCGCTGAATGATGGCCCAGATCTGAAACCATCGGCCATTAGCGAGTCACAAAATATTTGTATTCTAATAAACTATCATTCATAGGTAGGGAAAATGTAAAAAACATTAGCCAAGAATTTAAAGAGAACATGGCATTGCGTCAGAACGGTCCGACATCTATCGACAAAGTCGGTGCCCACTGCTCACCAAATTTGCAATTTTGATTTAAAGCTTTTGAATGCTCATATGACGTATTTTTTGTAAATTACATATTATGCTACTTGTACAACGGTTCTGTCGGTAGTCGTTGGACACTTGTTTCATATATTTGAGCATTTCTCTTTTGTATTCTTCATAAGTGATATTTGAGCAAAATAGAAATGCTCAAAATTATGGACACGAAGACGAAAACGAAGTAGTGCGGATATGTAATCTTTCACAGTAGATTACAGGTACTGTAGCCTTCCCTGGCCACCAGATGGAAGCGAGCGCGAACTCGGGGTCGCCACACGGTGCGCAATTTTCGTTTTGATGACGTCATCACACACAAAAAACGAATGCCATAGGGCCCACAGAAATTTTTGTAATAAATAAAATTTGTATCCTTCTAGCGACAACAAGACTCTTAATCATTTAATTTCAAAGCAATTGGTCCAATAATTATGCAGAAAAGCGATTTTTTTATAACAACAAAAAAAGAAAACAACAACAACATATATAATACCGAAACGATCTATAGGCCAACTTCGTGTCTGAAAGCTCAAGTGTTACTTTAACGGAGGCTAGTAGGATGTGTACTGGACTACATGTCTTTTCTCCCCATCTACTTCGGATCCGATGCTTTATTAACAAGATAGTATTGAAGTGATAAATAGGAATAACATAAACTTGTAACATAAATAGCAGCCTATTTGTGAGCATTCGTTAGATGTAAGTCTAACCTCTTCAGACAAAACAAGATAGAACTACTTGTTTGTTCAACATATTTTAACATCTTTTATCATAAATACATCTCGTGTTAAGTTTTTAATATCTTAATTTTCAATACAAAAACCGATTCAAATAAAACTCAATTAGACATTTCATGTGATTCCTTTCTATTACGCTTAAGTCGAATGAGGGTGTTATATATATGTGATTACCAAACGTTATGTTATTACAATAACGGGACTGACGTCACAGATTGCGCAACACGATTAACCATCGGTAATCAACACTTTTGCAGTGTGGCGTAATGTTCTTTGTTTCAAAGCTGTTTTGACACAATATCGCAATTATTTTTGCTTTTCAGGATCCATAAGTGAATGTGATCAATTTCTTGTTGAAAAAAAAATGCTGTGCGAGGTCTCATGGAGTTTTTTGGCGATAGGGGGTTCAATTGACGAATGACGACTGAGCAAAGAATTAACATTAAATTTTTCGTATAAACGTTATAACAAATAAACGTTTCTGTATAATAAAGATATTCTTTTATAATCATATGGGTTCATTTTAGTTAACACTGTTACATTTGCATTGGAGAAGGCAGACTGAATCAGAGAAATGTCCTTGGTTATATGATTTCTTTCTGAAAGTGAGACAGTGAACTATTTAGGGTAAATTACTGTCGAATTCACTTATCCGCCATAACCTAAATCCTAACCTGGTACACAACGTGACTTGGTGCGCATACTTCAGGAGGTCCAGATATTCTTTTATATTCAGTAACTGGTAAGTGATTGTTTTGCGGTATAATCTTGCATCGAACAACAACTGCCCTAATAATAATTGGGTCCATTCTAGTTAACAATGGCAGACAGAATCAGAGAAATTTCTTTTTTTTTATGAATTTTTTCTAAAAATAAGACAGTGGATTATTTAGGGTAAATTACTCTTGAATTTACGTATCCGCCCTTTTTATGCGTACAGACTTTATCGATATATGGCCCAGATCCGTTTTCCACTGCATTTTGATTTATTTCACGATAGATACCTATTATAGTGTATATCATTTTTTTAATATTGTCTATCGAATATTAGGTATTTATTAATCTTGTGTCTATATACGTGCTGAAAAGCAGCTTGATAGCGTTAGTGTTATTTTTAAAACTCAAGTGTTACTTTTATGACTTGAACAAACAAGAATATCACGCTTCTACTTTATTGCTATGCTGAAAAAACAAGCAATATGTCATGTGTTGCATGTTTTAATTAAATCGGTTTTTGTATTGGAATTTAAGATATTACAATCTTGACAAGAGATGTATTTATGATGAGAGATGTTAAAATTTGTTGAACAAACAAGTAGGACACATCGTAAGATTGCATGAGAAAAGCTGTTTACTAAAAAACAAATATATATTTGTTTTTTAGTATATATATGGGCTATTCCAAGTGACACTACAGGACAATTCCAGAAATTTTGCATGTTGTTGGATGCAATGTATTTTTACTTTTTCAGCTACATGTTTTGTTTCATTGTCCAATCAGTTGCTTTATTGAATATGTAAAAAATTGCAAAAAAGTTACACCCAAGACTTACTTAGTAGATAAAAAAAATATA